TGTCAGCTCCCTTCTCCAAGGCCTATTCTGCCTAATTTCTATTCCCACCTCAACTACTGGCCTTCTGATTGAAAATTATTTTTTCTAGGGAATAACCTGAATTAAACAAGGAAATATAGTAAAACCTAGTTGTTAAGACACCAGCCTAGGACTTGGGAAATCTCCGCTCTGTCACAGAGATGCTCTGCCCTTAGTCGTCTCCAAACCTAATAACCCTCGTTCGCTCAGCCTTTCTTCATAAGGCCTGCTTCCTAGGTCTCTAATAATTTTTTTCACTCTACCGGACTCTTTCTAATCTGTCCATGTCTTTCTTGAAATGTGGGGCCCAAAGATGGACCTAATACTCCAAGTAAGGCATAACCAGTGCCAAACAGTATGGAAGAATCACTTCCATCACTTTCCTTGATTTGTAAGTGATACTCCTTTTAATACAACCTGTTATGGCTTGGCTTTTTTGCAATAAGAGAACCCTGTTGGCTCATATCCAGCTTCTGGTCCTCTTCTATTTTAGGCTATAGACATGATCACTGACTCACAGACCACACTGATGGGTGAAGACTATGGACCTAACAAAGACCTGAGATATGAATACTGTGCATTTCAGCTGATATACAATCAATAATCAATAAGCTTGTATTTAAGTTATAAGGAGTAGCCTGAAAAGTAGAATAAAAATCTGTTTATCAAAGCCACTAATATTAGAAGAGGCCAAGAATTGCTTTGTTGAAAGTGCTTTAGAGCAGCTAAAAGTAATAACTGATGTTATAAGAATTAAGTTGTATGTAGTCAGTTAGAATTCCACTGAAATAGTTAACCAATAAGGCTACCACGTACACCCCTGAAACATGGAAGATGCTGAATTTTAGCCGATTTTGGATTTTACACTTCACTGCAGAACAACAAGGAAGTTTTTTTACCTCCCTGCCTGCCATCTGACACCTCCAGGGAAGGAATTCTACCTGAGCTACACATCAAAGAGCTACTCAACACAGCTCACAGAGACTCTCATGGACCCAGAAGGATAGACTTCCATCTTCAGCTTCCTCTGTGCAAAAATGAAGTTCATTTCCTACCTATGGGGACTTTTTACCATCTTGTACCATCTACACTTTTCCCAGAGCCTGACGAAGGGACTTTGATTCTGAAAGCCTGCAGAAAAAGACAATTTTCTTGCCATTTTCCAGTTGGTCTAATAAAAGGTATCATTTTGGAACCAAGAGTTCTAGTTTTTTGTATGTACTGAAATAATTATACATCTTTGTTAACCTGTTGTCAGCCTTGGCCACCTTCAAGGGACTTATGCTTGGCTGCAAAAGTGTGACCAAAGCATGCCTCAAAGCCTGTTTCAGAATGAAACTTTGCAGATGTTACAACTAGCCTAATCAGCAAAGTAAAAGAAACAGAACACGGCCATTAATGCTCTCAGATGATGAGGGAACGAGAACTCCTTTCTCCCAGAACTGTACTTTTCACAAGGACATAGTTAACTGGCATCTTCCAAGTCCATGTATAAATATTAGGTGTGAAAATGGCAGGATTTTGAGAAAAACTCAGCAAATTAAAGGCAGCCTGCTGCCAGCCTGCATGCCACCTTTCTTCCCCTCCTACACCTTCCCCAGCTGGTATAGGTGAGAATCTGTATTGGGCTGCTGCAGGTAGCTAGACAGGCATTGAGGTGTAATCGATAAAAGGCTGGGCTATAGACCTGTCTCTTGCCTTTTTATCTGGTAGTAATAATACCTTACCTGCTAAGAGGAAATGGAAAATCATTAGGACACACAATTTTATCTTGACTTGGTGTACAACAAGGGTAGGCATTAAGGAATTTGTCCCGTAATTTGTGTTTAAGTTTGCAAAAGATTCCTGATCATAGATAGACTGAAGTCTTGTCTCTCTAAAGACCAAACAGTACTGGGTTTTCAGTAACACAGCAGTACTGCAGCCTAACCAGCCACTACCTAGTTCATGTCTGTGCATTCAATTATTGCATTTGTGCAGGACTTTGCATTTGTTCTTGCTGAACTGCTTCAGGTTGATATTGGATCATTTCTCCCAACTGTCCAAGTCATTCTGATCCTATCCCAACCCTCTTGCATATCAGTAGACCAGGAATACTGTGTAATCCATGATGTACAGTAAGGTTCATAATTTGGTTACAAAATTTTTGACAGCTGTAGTGTAAGAAGTGCCTGGAAGTCTTTTAACACAGGAGATAGTTAGAGGTCCATCTAAATTACAAATCTCAACCATGTTTAACAGGATCAGGGACAACAGAGTTGGAACTGCTTTCCTGTACATAGTGGGAGCATCTATGTGAGATGCTACATGGACATCACTATGGCGATGTAGTGTCAGCGGGCACAAACCATGATGCCAACACTACTGTACAGTAGCAACAAACTACTGCACAGTAGGGTTGGAAATGACCCTTGTGTTGCCAGGATTGCTCAGCAACAGCGGGTACTGCACAGTCAGGCACATGTGTAGACGCACCCAGTCATGGCTGTAATATAGATGGGGCTTTCCGTCATAGCGCATAAGGTCTTGTTCAGGTTTTGATATAAACTTACCCTTGCCTAGCATCCTGCCTAGAGTAAACTGTTGCTCCTGAATTAAGACATCCTTGAGTTTGGCTTTCAGATCATCACTGATCCCTATGCTCTCCACTAGAAAAACAAACAGAAGAGAATCAAAAGGGAGGCAGGATCATAGATTTTGTCACAACATCCAGTGAGTCCATCTTGGTGGTGCCACCTCATAATCCAGCTCTTTAGTCCTAGCCCCACTTGCTATGCTGAAAAATGTTATAGGCAGAATTCTCCTCACACTCCAGATTCAAAGACAAGAAACCTGTAACTTTCAGGCATAAGAACTTTATTCTTTCAGCATTATAGCAATTCCCTTGCTGCATCTTTGACAACACTGCTTTGTACCAAAGTTTGGGAAGATAATATCCATTGGATTTTTCTGAAGTGTAAAAAAAATCAAATGGAGAGAGTGTACACACACTATGTAACTAAACAGGTGATAAACTAGCCTTCTGTTTCTGCAACCTTTGGTTCAATCCAATGTGGTGAATTGATTCCAAATACTACTGGCCACTTGTCCGCAAGACAGTCCAACTTAATTGCCAGGCTCTTCCTTGGACTGGATTAGGAACAGGATCAGTAGTGAGCACCTATGAGAACCACATGGAGAAGCATGCCCATCACCTGCCCACTTTATGCCCAGACCTTCTTTAAACTACTCTTAGCTTTTTATTCTAAAAAGCACACTTTAGGCAAAAAAGGAGGGAGTCACTCAGACCATTTTACTTACATGTTGCCTCAATAAGCTCTGGGCCTTCCCTGTTGAAAGACCTGGCAGCTCTGAAATGGACCATTGGCTCCCCCCTGCCGACCACACTGCCGAAGGCATGACTAGGTGGCAAAGAAAAGCAGAAAACCATGACTAGCCAATTCATTGTTACAAAAACTGCCAGGAAAGGAGCAGAAATGTTTTATTTCCAACTTCCTGTATATAAAATTGATGAAATATTACTGATGAGGCCGAGTCAAAAACCATTTTCACCAGCTTTGAAAGCCATTAAGGAATGTCTCTTACCCAAATCGAGTTTCTTTTCTTCTTTTCCGAAGGAGAATCAGTGCCAGGGCAACAGCTGTCACCAGGGCAGTGAGAATGCCCAAAGCTACAGGAACCCACGATGTCCCATAAGGGGGCTGTCTCTGGCCACCTACATGAAGGAGAAGACACCAGTTAAAGAGACCATCAGTGCCTGACAAGCAACAATTGAATGAATCCACATCATCAAGATACCTTTCCCTATGAGTTAACAGGAGTGCCAACATGTTGCACGTTGTGTACATTGGGGATCATTCTGCACCGATATTTCACTTATACAGTCAACAAACCATCAAAAACTTAATAGTGTAATTAGGGCCATTATATAGCATAGGTATGGCAGAACTGCATCTAGTGAGTCAATTCTGTTCTTAGATATAGACAAAGACATCATACCAAGTTTAAAGGAGGAGGGAAATACCAGTCATCACCTGCTTCCCAGGTATTGTTTTGCGTCTTCACTCCTTTCCTATGAGATGTGAAGCCAAACCAGAGAAGTAGTAGTCTTTATTCACGTCTAAACTGCTTCAGCTTAACTTCTACTTACTACAAGATTACATACACAAAATACTATATAATCTCACATACAACACACACCTTTTCCCTCCAAAATAAGCCCCCCAAAACTGGGGTCCATGTTTGAAGCAGGGAGGCTGTTTTCTTCACTGGAAAAAGAGAGCTCCTGCAGACACTGTGTATACCACGGAGCTGCCAAGATGGCTGTCATTTGTGCCTGCTCAGCAAACTGAAGGGGCAAAGGCCTGCATCAACCCTTTCACAGCCATGGCAATTGGGTAAGCACTGTAGTCTGTGCCCAAAGCAGCAACTGAGCTGCTGGTAGTATCTTGATGAGGCTTGCAATGTGGAAACAACACTTTATTTACAGGAACTTATATGAAGAACTACTTGCAGTAAAGAACTAACAGTTTTGCTACTCCCCTTTGGAAGGGGCTACGGCAGTGCTTCCCAAACTTTTCCTCACCAAGGCCCCATTTATGGCCCCATTTTCTCAGCATGAGCCCTCACTCCCAACCCACAGCCCCCCACCCATGCAACCCCATCCACTGATGTTGCGATCCCATTTGGGGTCACAATCCAGAGTTGGGAACCACTGGTCTAAGGCCTAACCCTGTTTGACAGATTAAATCCTCTTGGGAACATAAGTGTATCCAGGAAGCATGATATTGTAGGAGACAGTCTGCCACACCAGGAAGCTCCTGATACTACACTTCCTGGACACACTGGGCACATCAAGACAAGTGGGAATGTTTGTTTCTTTGGGGGACAAGTAGCAGCGGCACAACTTGTACTGCTGCCACTTGACCCAGAAGAATGCCCATGCTATATGCACTCTGGCATGTGGCAGGTTGGGGTAGGAGAGGCTGGGGCCAGCAACAGTGTTGGCCCCAGCAGCCTTACTTGGGGTCCTGAAGGCCCTGGGGAGCTGCAGCCACAGCGCTCCTACAGCAGGAAGCCTAGCCAGCTTTTGGGCAGCGCAAGCTGCCACCGTGTGCACTGTACACTGCCGCCCTGCTTTTTTTTTAGCATGCTTTTTTTGATCCCAGGATCTCCCTGGGTCAAGCCCACCCCCCCACGCTGCAAGGTAGTGGCATGGGGAACACCTGCATGTATGGTATGCCACTGCAGATGGGTCTGTGGTGCAACATACAGCATGTCCACACCCATCCGGACACAGCTACTATGTTTTCAGGCCTTACTATAGGTCACATGACTCTGGAAAAATAATTTTCTCTATGATCTGACCACCAAAAACAAGATATGTGTTTTATTTGAGGGCCTGGTGTATGGAAAATTGTGGTAGATACTGCAGAACAGCTGCCACATGATAATACCCTCCCTTTTTAAGGTGTCTGTCTGTTCATACCCTTAGCTACCCCAGTGTAGTAATGAATGAAGTAATGGTTGTATTCTAGGTTACACCCTTTTAAGTGAGGTCAGACTGGTTCATCATATTTTGGCACACTTTGGGGTAGAGTCTGACTGTTTAACAAAGGTAGTCAATTGTAAATGTATTACTCTGTCTGGTCTTTGAAAGAAGTTTCTGTGGAGTCTTGGTGATGTCAAAAAAGCCGTATCTGAGGTTCATAACATTTTGAAAGACTGAGGACAATTTGATTTATTGCTGCGATTTCTTTATTTTCTACATGGCAAAATGCAGTGCTGAACAGAGTTATTGCAGTGACTTGGAATAAGCTTGATGCTCTATCCAAACTAATTAGCTCTAGGGTTAGGCAAAACACCTTGCAAATGCTATTGTATTGCTTCCAGCAACTGACCTATCTTATTCAGAGCTGGTTGGGTATCCCATAGCCATTATAGCAAGTCTTGTACACACCCACAGACCCTGGGGAGCATGGAATTAGTTACAACTCCAAAGTATGATAGGACCTAAGCTCAAGAAGCTAACTTTCTGAAAGGTCTCTGAGTACATGAGCTCTTAAGAAATTAAGCATAAAATTGGTTCCTTCTTCTGTTTCAAGACTGCTTTTTACAGTTTTTTACCCAGGAAAGGCTATATAGGAATCCTTTTCTTTTTTGAGAACTGCCTCCAAAAACAAGCATCTTTGTGAATATTCTTGGGGAAGGAGTGAGGCCACATAATTGTGAATGTCCCTGGACACAGAAGAACCTGGAAACCTGCCAATGTGAGGATCTGAATAGTATGGGTATGTAACCAGCCATCAGGAATGAAGGTAGTGAAGCAATAACATACAAGCACTGATATACAGCTGCTAAAGTTTCAGTGGTACCTCAGTTTAAATTGTGACATTTTTATTGATTTGTTCATATTCTTAAAATCCAAGATAGCACTAACACCTCCCAACTGTTTGAGGATGAAAAATAATGTGGAACATGTCCCTCAATAGCTCTTCGATCTTGACAGCAGCTTGAAGCCTCCACCACCTGACTTTGCTCTACTCGGAACGGAGGGGAACGAGGTAAGAAATTCTACTGCAAATTCGCTTACGGCCTTGTCACGTGTTTACTTGTAATAGCCGCAAATCCATTGAAATGTTGTGATGTATTAAAGTTAGTAGGTGTTAGGGTATAGTCACACATTCATTTTCAAGAGATGCAGATCACTGAAACATAGTAACCTATGAAGGCAGACATAACACTTGAGCTGTTCCAAGACTGTCACTGATTGAGAACCAGTTCATGACTGTCCCAGTTTTGAGGTGTCTGCACATATACTGACAAGGGTTCAAAGTAGAAGAATCACTTTCCAGGCATTGCAGTGCTATCAAACCACCACCAGGGGTCGATAGTGAATACCTAGCCCAGCCTACCTCCCAGTGGCAAGTGCCCCAGCATGCATTGAGTGGGGAGGAAGACGTCAGTTGCCTACAATTTTCTGATCCCTTTCTTGTGAACATTGAGTTCAATAAAGAAGATTCCTACATTTTACCAAAACCTGCATGGTGGTACCCAGACTGGGGGTGCCCAAGTATGTGTGTCGGGGGGAGAGAAGGGGGAAAGAGTAGAATGGCTGCCTAAACCTCTGCTTCTAGATTCCTGAGAGCTGGGTAATCAGGGGCTAATCAAAGCTTCTGTAGCTTCTAAAAAAAAACACTTCCCCAAGCTACTCAATTTATTTAAATTCCTGACTATGTATCAGCATTTGGTGCATCACAGGTTGATTTGGGGGTGAAGGGGTGGCCAGTTGGTTGGGGCAGAGAGCTACCTGGATCCCTGCTTCTCCCTTCTCAGAGGGCTGGGCCCTCCAGGGGATTACCCAAGATCTCTAGCTCAGGCTACTGTCTTAAGACGACTTTTCCTAGGGATGGCCATGTGGGAGGGGGCTTGGACCTCTGCTCCTGGGTCCCCAGGTAGCTGGGCATTCCATCTCCACTACTTTTAAACTGTATTTTCCTCCAAGCCACTTATCAATTTCATTCCATTTGTAGCAACTGGACAGGCTTTGAAGCACCCCAGGCTAATTGGGAGGGGAAGAGGGGTCGGCAGAGGGGGTATCCCTGCTTCTGGGTTCCCAAGGGTTGCCCAAGATCTATCAGTTGCCAGAAATTGAATGAAATTGGCCAGTGACTTGGTCAAAAGTGCTGTTTAAAAGCTGCAGTGACACTGGGCAACTCTCCTAGAGCACCAGCACCCCAGAAACCTAAAAGCAGGGGTACTCCCCATGTATCTGACCCCCTATCCCCAACCCAAATCAGCCAGGGATGGCAGACTAGGTCAAGTGCAAGCAATATTGGTATACAGCAAAAACTCCACTACCCCAACCTGAATAGCTCATTACCATGCAGTAGGTGGGGCTGGCAGAAGAGCAGTGCAGTATGGGATGCCTGGAGGACTGACCAGACACTAGTCCCAAATAGCTTGGTGTCTGCACATAACACTGAACTGGTTCAAGAAGGACCATTTCAAATAATACCCAACTATCTAGGTATACTTCTGAAATGTTTAAGGAGGTTTAAAACATTCTAAATTGGCTTGTATATCTGGGCATTTGCAGTTTAAACAGCATTTAAAATGTTTTAGGGATGCAGACAGATGTAACGTTTACAGTCAATACATTAGGAATAAGACTTGCCTGAAAGGGAACAACTTTGCAACTGCCAAGAGGGCACTTAACACAGGCTAAACTGCTTGAAAGTATATGCTCACATCTTAACTACACTTAGCAAATGTTAAGTTGAACATCTGAAATGTTTATTAGGGCTGTGCGAAGCTTCAGTAGCCGACTACATTTGGAAGAGATTCAGCCCAATTCCGTGGCTGAATCTCTGAATCCAGAGACCCATTAAAAAGGTCCAAATTGAATCGAAAGCCTCCGAATCGATTCGGAAAACATTCAGTGCCACTTCAGAGATTTGATCATAGACTAAACAGGCAGCAGTCCTCAATGTTGGAGACAGCTGCCTCAGCTGGTAAGTCTGTTGTGGTGGGCTGAGTGGCAGATAGAGGGGGTGGGAGGGGGGGCAGATCAACGCCCCCACAGTGAGGGAGGGATTGGGGCT